TCCTTTTTTCCTTTTTTTTCCTTTTTTTTCCTTTTTTTTCCTTTTTTCCTTTTTTCCTTTTTTCCTTTTTTCCTTTTTTCCTTTTTTCCTTTCTTTTTTTGCAGGAAAACATTTGTAAATATATATGTATATATGTACATATATTTTATCTTGTGATTCCAAATCTGGAAGAAAAAACATCATTCTTTCATCAAAGGAGAAATTCACCCACTGACCTGGAGGTAATTTGAATAATGAACTAAGCTAGTTTTGATGTTTGTGTCAACAGCATAGAAGTGTCAGATTCAGTTCTCCTTACATCCAAAATGATAGATGTGAGATCAAAGTGCCTTCAGTAACGTCAGCGTGTCAGACTCATGTTATTGAGGGAAATCTTCCTTGAGCTATCAGCTCTGCTGTCATATGAAAGCCAGTTGATATCTTCACTATATCCCCATCCATGTGGAAAGGGAGGTGAACGTCAATGCAATGAGTTCCTTCGCTTGTTTCTTCTCTTGGGATTTAAATGTCATTATCTGTCAATGAAATGAATTTGCCTATCTGAATACATGAAGGATGTAGCAAGACTGAAACTGGACAGTGAGCAATTCTGTGCTGGTGTCTGCTCAGGAGATCTGCAGTGTTGGAGGTTAGGGGTGGCAAAGAGGATGAGGAATCTGTTAGCACAAGAATGAGGAGGAGGAGATTAGGATATCCTAAAGCAATTGTGCTGCTGACTCACATCAACTACTGCAGCAATTTTGCCTCAAAGTCCTTGACTGGCAGCGAGGGATAGGAGTAGGTCTTCTTGCTTGAAGTCTCAGAAGGAGATGTGCAGGAGTCCTGGTAGATAAGCCACGGGTTGGAAGATGGTTGCTCCCACACTAATGAGTAGCAGCATGATGCTTAATCAAAGTAAATGTTTTTCTCTAGAGGAAAACAAAGAGAAAGCAGCTTGAATGACTGACCACTGGATTTGGGCAGGGGATGGTCTTCCAAACCAGAAGGTCTTCAGAATTGTCCACCATCTACAGGTCTTGGCTCTGATGTTTTACTGCTGCCAGATGCAAGGGCTTTGAGCGCTGTTATGGAATTGGCAAACATGAGCAGTATTTGACTGTCTCCCCCAGCTAAAAATGTCAGCATCCAGTGACTAAAATCTCTGTAGGTGACTTGCTCTTTCCTTGGGTCACCCGTCATGGTAAGGTAGGACATGAACTTCTTCAGCACCTTGCTTGGGAAACTACATCAGGGAGCACATTTGATTTACTCAGAAAACATCTAATTATTTCTGACATTTGAAATCAGAAACCCAGTGTTAGCTGAGCATAAGAGTTTTGATAGTATTATAGTCTTCTGTGGCAACCACTAACAGCAGGCTCTGAGACTGGCAAATAATATACATTGAAGAGGACCAACTGGCTTTGATAGAATCTGACTATTGATATATAGTCTTAATGAACACTGTGTTTTCTGATCACCTTGGTCCATATGCTTGAGCCATTACAGGCACAGATGATAAGAATCTGAATTTGGCAGTGGATATTTAGCAAGAAAGTGAATGGCAAGAATGGAAGAGCTGTGGAAGCAAGAGGCCAGCGTTAATGTAGTAGGCAAGAATAGCAGTGACAACTGACACAGAGCAAAACACCTTTGAAAACCATAAAACCAGAAAAGCATTACCAGAAAGACCTGTTCAAAACTGATTAAAATCAGGGAACTAGCAGAAATCACAAGAATGAGCAGGACCACACACATAGTTTTTGATGATGGCTGAACACAGTCCTCCACATTGACCACCACCAGACAGCACTGGAGGACCACAAAGCCCAAGAACTGGGGGGTGTCCACAGTGATAGGACCTGGAATTTTTCTCCAGTGGGAGAAACAGCTGCCAAATTCAGCAAACTTTGTTGGTGGAGCTGATGTGGCTGCTCTGTAAGAAAATACAGATAACGTTTCTTTAGGAATCCAGCAGACAACTGGAGAAAAGATGCAGGGAAAAAGAGAAACCTTCTGCAATACAAGTCTGGCTCCAATACACAATGCATTTTGCATGTCTCAGGAGCGTACTATCTTTATTTGCACATTTTAAAATCCTGCATAGTAGCATAAACAGGATGGCACGAGGAGGTTGTAGGAGTCAAGAGAACTGTGCTATGAAAGGAAGAGACCCTCATCAGTATTTCTGCCATCAGTACTTTGGGGAGGAAAGAAAAGAGAAAATCCCAAACCCCAAGCCCCACACTAAATATGTACTTGTTCTCTCGGGCCAGCAGCCTCGAAGTTCATAAACTCGGAATTACCTTGTTTTGGAATAAGCTGTTCTGAAAATAATTTCCAATGGCTTCACCGAGTTTGCTTTGCTGGTGGCAGCCCTTCGGCTCCAGGCTGGCACGTGTATGGAGCTCTTCGAACAAGTTTTGACCTTCCTTTTGCCCCTCTGCCCATCAAGCCAGGTAATGACATGCTTTGTATTGCACAGAACACATACAATTGACAAATTCATAGTGGTGTTTAAATATTAAACAATCTAGACAGGCTTTTGAGTCTTATGCCACTAGGAAAAGGCTTAGACCATACCCATCTTTGAAATTGGGCTGCGGGATCATTTGCACAGTAAGACAGACAATAAGACTTGTATACATTGCCATGCAACAGAAGAGACCCCGAACCGCCAGCCCTAAGTGGAAAGTTTATTTCTAAGCACAATATATGGAAAAACCAAACCAACAAACCCCACAGATATAGAAAAGGTTGTAGCAAATCCCTGGTCAAGTAGGACTTCATGTCGGTCACTACCCTGCACCTCACAGCTGTTTAAAATGTCATGCAATGGAGGAGAGGGCACTCAGAGGACACCCTCTGCTTCAGATCGAGGCGGATCTCCAAGCAGGAGAGGGCCCATGGTTCTCCTGCTGAGCACTTCGGACTGTAACCAGCAAACAGGCAGCGCTGCTCACCCCCACCACGCACCTCGCGACTCCCTGTGGCACTTCAGCAGGCTTTACCAACGTGGATTCTCACAACACCCCTGTGAGGTAGGTACGTATTGTTATTCCCCCTCTGTGTGAATGGGGGACTGAGCCAAACAGCCCAAGGCTACAGAGTCGGTGGCAGAGCTGGAGTGAGAGTAACGCAGAGTCCTGTGTGTTCAGATCGCTAAGTCACACCACTCTCGCACGGCAAATTGTGCTTCTGGCCTGATAAGCTTTTAGCCTTTTGCCAAATTAAAGGAATTGGAATTCTCCATTTTAAATGAGGGGAGGACAGGGGGGGAAACAACATGTTGTCTGATAGCCTTCTGTTCATTGGTGTACGCCTTCCCCTCCCCAAATCCGCCACCATTACCCATCTCTTGGAATGAGCAGTTTGCAGGACAGGCGTGGAGGTGAGGCTGCTGTGTTTGCTTATTATGACCAAGTTTATCTCTACTGTGGGTCAGAAGTACTTCTTCCAGAGACTGTTCACTGCAATACTATCATTCTGGGGTAGCTGCTTTTAGAGATGATCAGAATCACCCCTTCCTCTCCTTCCTCCCATTAATATCCTTCCCTCACCTCAGCCAAAAGCACTCTTTGGTGGACAGTAAGATTGGTCAGAAAGGTACAGTGGCCTCAGAAAGCATGCTGTTCATTTCTGTCCTCACCACGTCAGCTTTCTTGGCTGGTTTTTCACCTCCCAGATTCTCTGCTAGGGCAGTACCTGCTCTGTTGCCTTCTGATATTCAAAGGGACACTGTCAAGTAATCTAGATGAAAAACATGACCCTGCCTTAAGACTTTATCCTCCATCTCCAGCATTACAGAATGGCTGTAGTTCAAACCTGGGGACTAAATTTGGCACCTCCCCCAGTGCAGAAACACTCAACCTATAACAGCCTTGCTGCTGTGGGGGCTCAGCTCTTCTGCAGAATGGACATGGTTTGGCTGAAGTCATAGCAATTTTTGGGAGGGCTGAGTTCAGGCTTGATCACTGCAGGCTCATTGTTTTTGGACTCCCGAGCTGCTGCTCCTCAATGAGCCAATCACTCTGTTTTTAGGCTTTCTACTGTGATGCTTGCTTTGTGGCAGCTGCATCAGCAAAAGATGCAACCTCAGAGAGCTGGGAGATGCACCCCATGGAGCGAGGACAGTGAGCAGGAAATTGGAAACATGGATCTCTTCCTGTTGCAGATGAAAGGTGGAGAGGACAGGGATGGTAAAAACAATGAGGTGAATAGAGAAAACACTATATGCCAAATGGAAAATAACAATATCAGTAGGGAAAGAAATTTTATTTCCAAGATTGTAAGAGAATATTACAAACAATGGAGAGTAAAAAAAGCCCAAACTCTAAAAACTATTTAAAAAGTACTTGACAGTGTCCCTTTAATATCCACAAATGATTCAGCCATTGTGCATTGAAAGAGAATGTTCCTGAAGAGCAGCAAGTATCTTCGTGGATATATCCCAGAGAAGGAGACTTATTAGAAGTGTTATATATTTGATCAGCAACTGTGCTCCCTCTTCAGACTAACTCTCTGTTGAACTACTGAATGGAATAGATTCTGTAACAAACAAACTGGATGTGAAAGGTTCAGCCTACAAGACTGAGACCGTTACAAATTGAGCAGCAGGGATAAAGACACTGAAAAAAAAAACCCCACATATTTCTCAAATGTATGAGTATGTGAATCAGCAAGGTAGCAGAAACCCACGGAGATGGGTCAGCTTTTTGTGACTGGAGTAAAATGGAAGGAAATTAACCTGGGATGCCTGCATGGAAAAATGGTGTGTGTGAATGGGAAAGATCTGGATACTGGATTTGGGGTTATGAAGGCATAAATCACACCAGTACTTGTGCTTGAAACACCTGCAGAGCATTTGTACAAAATTCGCCAAAAATGCCTATACGTTGAATAAAGGTCATGGAATGCCCTCCCTCCCCCCCTCCCAACTCCACCCTCACAAACCCTTTGTCAGGAACATTATGAAAAAATCACAATTTTTGTTTTGGTGAAATTTGAGTACTCCTGGGCTTTGTTGCATTTTCTTGGCGAGATGATTCAACGGTCAGTTGTTGTTGTTTTGTTTTGTTTTGTTTTTTTTTCCCATAAATCACTACTGAAAAATCCCCAGCCATTTCACTTCAGATATCCTATGGTAAATCGAACAAGGTTCCAGAATGACTCATGAACAAAACAACTCATAGCCCTGGTTAATCACAGTCTGGAAAGAAAAAAAAAAAATACTCCAAATATTTCATTCCCTTCCTTGTTTATATAAATCTCACACTTGCGTGCGTGTGTGTGTGTAGGGTGGGTGTGTACAGAGCATCACCTATTCCAGGTAATAGGATTTGTAAGACATGCTAAACCGTCTGTTCCTCTGCTTCCCCAGAACTCTGCCTACTCAGTTTTTTTAGTCTGTATTGCACTTGTTTTGTTGGTTTTTTTTTCTTTTTGTGATTTGTGTGGTTGTTTTGTTTTTTTTTTTCTGTTCCCCCCTCCCCCCCCCATTTTTTTTAACTGGCTGGAAAACATTAACCTCTTTAGCATGAGTGTGCAGCTCTCCCTCCACCTGCTTTCTCCTCAGCTGGCCAGGTGCCGCCTCTTATATCTTGTGCAGTTACCGAAAAAAAAGAAAAGAAGGAACAGAAGAAGAAGAAAAAAAAAAGAATAAAAGGGAAGAGAAAGAAAAAGGCACACCATGCTCCTCTGCGTTACGAGTTCTGCGTCTCCTCCGCTCTGCGTTAAGGCCTCCTGAATTCCTCGGCTCAGACCGTCGTGACCCTCATGACGAGCTCTCTGTTACTACTAGACTGACTCCTCTGTTCGTGAGGCCTCAGGTGGCTGAGTATATGCAGGATGGTGTAAGCACAGTGGTGGTCAGAGAGGGTGCCTGTGGCATGGCCGGTGGCCCGGGCCCCGCTGTCGGCCGGAGCGGAGTTAGTGGCTGTACCACCAGTGGAGGACGAGTGGGTGGTTTGGGAGGAGGGACGCTGATTTGTCCTGGTCCCTGTTTTTTGTTCCTCCATGTCCTTTGTTTTGTCATAGTTCAGCACTTTCCACTGCTGATTGACCGCCTGCCACCGTTTAAAAATCCGGTAAACCGAGGGCCCTTCGTGTATTATTAGACCTGGAGGGAAGGGGGAAAGAATTAAACATAAAGTAGAGAGAAACTTTAGAAGAACCATCATCTTCATCATCCCAGCATCGTGCCCTCCAGCTGGCTGCCTGCTCAGCTCTCCCTCAGCTTATTTAGTGATATTTCATGGAATCATAGAGTCCATGGAAGGGACCCTTACAGGCCATCTGGTCCAACCCCCTGCAATGAACAGGCACGCCTACAGCTCCATCAGTGCTCAGAGCCCCTCCAGCCTGACCTTGATTGTCTGCAGGGATGGGGCTTCTACCACCTCTCTTGGCAACCTGTGCCAGTGTCTCATCTCCCTTATTGCAAAAAACTTTTTTCTTATATTCAGTCTAAATCTCCTCTCTTTCAGTTTGAAACCATTTCCCCTTGTGCTTCTGCTCTGCTGGATCCCTTTCCCCCTGAATTAAAAGGATTACAGCTTCATCTCAGCAATCAATAAACAGGTCTTAAATGCAGCGGAATGAGTTATGCTCTTACAGCACAACAGTATCTGTTTACCAATAAATGCCTGAGGTTTATCTATCACCGAGCTGGTTTTGCATGCTGCATAGGCATGATTCACCGTGTGTTTGGAGGGTAAGTAACTGCAGCTGACGTGCTGGTGACGTCTGCTGCACCAACGTCACTGCGAACTCAGAGCACATCTCCCCACACACACTGCAGCGGAGCAGGCACACGCACAGAGGCCAGGGACAGCAGTCAAAAACAAGAAGGGGCTGGCTACACCTGTGAATGGTTTGTCATCCTCAGCAAATGTTTGCTCATTGGCAAAGCAGGTACCTTGTCAGACCTCATCGCTTCCAAGGGGAGAAAACAACACACTTGGAAAAAAAGAGTTTACGTAGTTTCTGCTGTTAGTATGCAGGGAATGCATATGTCCTGTTACCCATCTGTATGCACCAGAACTGATATCTGGGGAATGGCAAGTGGGCTTTAGGACACTTGGCTTCTCTGCATTTGAAAGAGAATGAGCTGCTCAGACCCTTCCACCAGGAGTTAGCTCATCTCCCAGAGCTCTGCCATCCTCCCCACAACAAGAGGACTGGAAGGATGAGATAATGCCAGAAGTGGTTTAGAAGATGACATTACGTGACTATTAAGCATTGATACTATTAAAGTTACCAAGCTTTGACTATACCCTTTGAATGCAATGCAAGCAGTGTGCCTACAACAGTGTTGTTTTTACCCACTGAAGCTGAACGAAGCTTCCCATATAGACTGGCTTAGTTGGTGCACTGTAATATAGTTAATAAGCTTTACTGGAGATTGGGATTTATGCAATGTGAGAGGGTCTCTGTGTCCTTGATTTGCAACCATCTGTCTAATAGGAAAGTGCCCTTATGTAACTGAAGCCAGACCAGCAGGTAGGGCATGTACTAGTTGAGTTAGCACATGGATAACTTCATTCTTCTCGACAGTGATGGCTTCACAATTCTTGGTCACCATCAACATTACCAGAAACATTTGTATCAAGAGCAGCTCTTTTGCCTACCTGTTCCAGGAGTTCAATTACGAGAGCAAAGAACAAAAGACCTACAAGATGCAAGAAGCAAAACCATATCAAAATGAGGAGGCTGCCTTGTCCACTGAGGGGTGATGATGTTTACAACAGGATACAGTAAGTGGTTTACTGTTATCCCTGATGATTGAATGTTGGGGCTTTACCCTCCATCCAGCTTTCCCAGACTGTTTCTGATGACAGCCAACTACTAAGTAAACCAGTTCTATACAAAAAAACCCAACATATCTGAATGTCACCCTACCCTTAGGGCTGACCTCCCTTTTACCCACTGATGGTGTGCAGATACCCAATTTCTCAGGGCATCTGACTTTACGAACTTTAAATTCTAGGTTTGCTACCCTCTGAGTTTCTATCCTGTCTGGTTCTAAACACAACTAGAAGCCCTACTGACTTGATCACAAATTAGCTTCAGGGGGACTCACATTCATCTTAATGTAGTGCTGAGCTTGTTTACTGGCTGTAGAAGTAATTACATGAGTTAATTTAAGTATTCAAACCTAGCTATTTTGGGACATAGAAAGTAGATAGGAAGTAAAATGGGCTAAAAATATGGGTGAGATCCTTATTCTAGTTCTCATAAACCACTGAGATTGCACAGGTATAATCCTACAATGATGCCAGTTTTACAAAATGAAATAATATGATGTCATAACAAAACAAAAAAGTGCTTTTTTCCTGTCTAGTTTGGAACATGGTTGAGAATTCTGCCATCTTCTGATCAAAGCATAACCATAAAAAGCAGGACTTAGGGAAAGCCTGCAGATCCAGCCAAGGAGACAGCTTTGAAGCAGGGCTAAAGTGGATTGGTCCATGACAAGGGACATTAGACACATATTTAAATGAGCTGTCTGATGTGTAATGAATGAAATTCCACTCTGATCAATGACAGAGCCAATATTTCTCTGAGACCACTTTAAGCCTTGGATAAAAGAACCAAAATCAAATATTTTCTCCTTGGCTGTAGAACATTCTCCATAGAATCAAATCCATTCTCCAAAGTATTAAACACTGAGCCAGGACTGTAAATCTATTCTTAATTACCTTATCACAAATATTTAATGCGCAGGCTGATTCAAGAGGGCTGTTTATAAAATTCTTGTTTGTTTGCCTTCTAATTATAAATGTTTATGATCTTATGCAATTAGCTGTGTGATGCTGATGGATGGGTTGCTGAGTCAACTGAGCACCTGTTTTCTTAGATAATTTTGGTTTCCAAATATTTATGAAAGTACAAAATAACTTGTTTTCCTCTGTATTTGCGGGGCTCTAAATTACTTATTGATTTCCCAGTGTCAAGCTCAGGAAGCTGTAAAATTAAAAAAGAACCAAGTGGAGGGGTGGGCAGGGAGGCGGAAGTAACGGTGATTCATTTGCAACAGAGAATGCCAAGATTAAGCAAGAGTCCATCACTTCATATCAACTTGCAGGATGCTTAACACTTGAAACAAATTTGGTCTGCCTGAGTTAAATTAGGTTTGGAATTCCTACATTCAGCTGTGTGTATCCCCTTCCAGAAACACTCCTCCCTTGAGATTCATTTTGGTTAAGAGAGCTGAACCTTTGCAATTAAAGGCCAGAGTAAAGTGGAAAATCCTCCAGGAAGAACTGTGTTCAACTGCAAGCATCCAGCTGGAAGCAATTATTCTGTAAGCCAAATCCCCTCTATGTGGGGAAGACAGCAAGTTGGTGTGAACTCCTCTCTTTGTGAACTTCTCTCCTTTCAACTCAGAAATATCTCTATGAGAATTTCAGATGGATTCCAGTAGTGGCCTAATCCTTTTCCACTCCTCCCAAGTTTATCCTTCCCTTTTCTACTCCACAAAATCTGTTCTCAACATATCTTATGTGAAAGACATCCTCTTCAGAAAGAAAATCTGTGTGAGTTTCACACAAATCTGCATTGCTCCAGATTGTTGCCAGGTCCATGAAATTCCTTTTTGCAGTGCTGGTGAAATGAAGCTCCTAGAGATCGTAGGCGCTGAAGATGAGTTCTTCTCATTTTGTTTACTCATGCAGAGACCTGACTGGACCAGTATCAGGGGAGATTCCTTGAACTGAAAATTGTTGAATGTCAGGGGAAATAATCAGGGAACTTATCATATATGCTTGTCTTGTTTATGTGATTTAACTCTTATGTCTGTTTGTTTCCATGATGGAGGCACGGTAAAAAGCCAGACTGAGCTTTGGTCATGCTTAAAACATGCTAAACTCAACAGTAAACAAAGGATACTATATTTATCTCTTTTAGCTATATTCACTCTTTTATATATTAGACTTTCTTGCTTCTTCTGTTATGACTTTATTACTCATGAGTTCATGCAGAGTCAGACCATGGGCAACTCTGAGGAGCTCTGTAGTGTCTAGGCAGGAAAATCACTTGAAGTTGGGCAGGCAAGGACTGTGCCAGTGCAGTTGCATACACATGTCCCAAGCAGCTGGGAAAGCAAGCTGACAACTGTTGAGTCTGGGAAGGATCTAGCTCTTCCATTTATCCACCAACCTCACTCTCATTCTCTTTCTAGAACAAAGATATTTGTGCTTTTTCTTTTCCAGATGATCAAGCTGCAGTCTGCAACGGGGCTATCACTGCTGAAAGCAGTTCAAGTTCCATGTTCTACTGATTTGCACAGCTATGCCTGAGCTTCTTCACACCTAAGATGCAGGAATCGGAAAGAAGAGCATGACCAAGAGTGAGAATCATGGCCCAGAGATAAGGCTGATATCACTGTAGAGTTTCTCTGAGCCTTGCAACACCTGCCCACTGTGTGCAACACCCACACTGTGATCCACAAGGGCAGAAAGGCAAATATTCATAGTGCCGAGGGAGGACAGAGAAGCTGTATGCAAGGAGCCCTTTCTCTTCTGGGTTTAGTTGGGACAGAGGTGCACTGCCATTGGTGAGCCTGTGAGAGCTCAAGAGAGGCCCTCAGTAGCCAGAATGGGCAAAAAACGGATACAAAAGAACCCAAATTTGAGCCTCCAGATAGGCAAGAGGGGATCAGCTAAGGTACCACCATCCTGTGAGATTAACCCAAGAGGCTGCAAATCTTCAATTTACAGCAGCTTTGGAGCAGCAGCTTCCCAGAAATGACAAGCAGTCACCTTGCGCACACTGTCAGCTCAACCACCAAGCGATCTTTTCTCCAGGACCTCCAGCCTCTAATTAACCTTCCTCTCATTCCAACACTTGCCATGCATTTTCTTGAAACAGACAGGTAAATTCTTGGGGCAGAAACTGTTTCTCCCATTTGCCACTAAAGAAACCATGAAAACAAGGCCTTTGCTGACAGTGAGTGGTACTTTGCCCTTGTGCTGTCACTCACATTATCTACAGAAACAAAAATCACAATCTGCCCTAGCCAGTTACTCTGTCCTGCTTCTCATAAAACCCCTGTCCTGTTATCTGAGCTGTCATCTCTTGTTTCCACCTTCAGCAGCTCTTCCACCCTTCCTTTTCCTT